CTGTCTCTGTCTCTCTCTCTCTGAACTCTATGATACCCTTTGTAGCCATGTATCACATTCTTTGAGCTAGAAGACACAGAAACAGCCTGGGTCTCTGTCACTATCTATACAACAGACAGATTAAGAAAGCTGACAAATCCTATCTATACTGAAATGGGAGCAAGATGTGAATCATATTTTTTATAGCATATTATTTTGTTTTATTTGTTGTCATAACATTATATAGCCTATTCTGACTAACAAAGACAAATGAGAAAAAAGAATTTGCCAGTGTATGTATTTTTTTCAATATGCGGAACAGCTATGAAGATAGTCCTAGTAGTAAAACTAGAAAGCTTATAAAAATTATTAGAACTTCAAAGATCTCTATCATTACTTTAAAAGGTTCCTGGAAACCAGAATGTAGTCATTTATTATCAGCTGTATATACCCTTAAGAAATTAGCATGTGTCTGTGATTATTCTTAACATATATAAGAAGTATAGGCAAATTGCCAAAATTCCCAAGCATTTTAACAGAATGACTAAGTGGATGGGACCACACCACCATGTCTATTACTGCAGACTGCAAACAATAAAACTGAGGTAATAGGGATGCAGGTGAACCCATTGCAGCAATGAGATGTACAAGACGTTATATCGAAGAATGAACTTTACAACTTTGGCCGGGGGATGGGAAAGGGGAGAGAGGGGGGTGGTGTGAGGGGGGAGATGGGAAGGGATGGGAAAGGAAAACAAAAGAGGAGACAACAGTGCTTGATAAGAAATGTACTCATTATCTTTCCCATATAATTGTAACCCCTCTGTATGGTATTTTCACAATTAAAAAAAAAAAAAGAAAACACTGAACTAGAAAAACAATGTGAATGTATGTGAGACAAGCTATATGAAAAGTCTACATGTGTAGTTAGTATTAAAGAAAGGTATATGGAAAATAGTCTTCTTTGAATAAAAGGCTCAAAATGTTTTATGGGTCTGCACCAAAATTAGAGTTAGTAACAATAAAAAAGCTTGGATTCCAACTTAGATAAATACAAATATAAATAACTGCATAAATATTTTTTTTAAAAACCTGAGGTAATAGAATGAGTGACCTCATGGGGCGCTAGTAATCTGAGCTACTCAGGAGGCTGAGATCTGATGATCCAGGTGCACAGCCAGCCTGGGCAAACAAAAATAAGAGATTCTTATCTTCAATTAACAAACAAAAAGCCAGAAATGGAGGTGTGTGTGGCTCAAGTATAGATGCCGTCTTGAATGAGAAAGTAACGTGAGAGTGTACAATTCCTGAGTTCAAGCCCTGTATCACTGCACACACACACACACACACACACACACACACACACACACACACAATTGATCTGTATTCCAAAGATAAAATATTTGCACCAATGTCAAGTAATTCTTGTGCTTCAGAATCAGAACTGAGATTACAGTAGTGACCATTCTTTCCAGACACTTCTTGGCATAGTAACACCCAAAAGAGAATGATGAAGTGAAAATTTTTATGTATCATACAGTTTTATATATAGGGTTTTATCTAGATTTCACAATCAAGTATGGTAGTACACATAGAACTTGAGAGAAAGCCCTGAGAACCTGAAGATGTCACTTAAAGCTCAATTATTATTTTTGTGTGTGGTGTCAAATTTTCTTGATCAAATTGTATGATAGAATTATTCACTGTAGAATTCCTGAAGTGATATTCATCTAATTCAATAGAACAAGCTGATTAAATCCAAGAGCATTGCATGAATTTAAGCACTCCTTATTGGATGATTATTTCTTGTAATTTCGTAAAAATCACTGACAGGACTAGAAAGATTTGTCCTAGAATCCAAAGTTGAAAATTCTGAGTTTGGTAGCATATACCTATAATCACGTATCTATCTCCCCTTTGTGAAGCAGAGATGGGAAGAACATAGTTTGAGGCCAACCCAGAGCAGAAACTTAAGGAGACCCCAATTTCAACAACAAATCAGACATAGCAATATAGATATACTGGAGGTAGAAATAGGAGGATTGCAGCCCAGATCCAGCTCCAAGAAAAAGCATGAGGCCCTTGCTGACAAATAAAATAAAGCAGAAAGTATCAGGTGCATGGCTCAAGTTGGTAGAGTACATAAGTCCTAAAATCAAGTGCCCATACTGCATATATGAAAATAAACACACACACACATACATACATACATATGATTTTTAAAAAACTGGTGCAGAGACAAATAAAAATATTCCTTAAATTTAATTTTTAAATATAGCTTTCCCAAAACCAAGCTTGTATTTCAGAACACTCTTAACAGCTCTAGAAGTATATCATGAATTTAAACCTGTCAATGACTGACTTTACTGAGAGAAATAAAACCATCTTAAATACCTGTAATTTATCTTCATGTTGGGACTAAATTACTAATTTTAGAATTCAGGAATTAGAAATTATGGCAAAGCTAGCAAAATCAGCCATCTGGAGGAGCGCAATAAATTATATACTTCAGATAACAGAAAACTAAAGTGGCCTACTTCTGAAGGTTTTACCATTGCTGAAAATTCATGATGTCTCACTTCACACAGGACAGAAGAACTACACAGATCAACCCAGTCACTGGAACCAGTTCTGCATACACCAACTATACAGACAAAAAGCAGGGGGCCACTTAAAAGCAATCACCATGGTCTGCATCAGGGCTGCTGTGTATCTCAGCCTTCACTCCCACTTTTCTCCTTAGCAAACATAACACCAACTTCTCCTTTCCTTTCCTTTATTTTTTTAAATGAGCATATTGCTTCCTACAAACAAAAACTATGACAGGAATAAATATTTGCTCAAGTTCAAGGTTACTCTTGTATTCTAGGGAAATCTGGAAAACAGACTCTCCTTAGAGAGGGGGTACCCACATTTTTCACCTTTCCTACTCTTATCGTGCACTATATCTTTGATGGCTAGAGTGCCAGCAGCCCTCATAATTCTCTAAGGTAGAAGGCATACAATAGGAGGGAACCACAGAAAAGTAAAAGTATTATGCCATGGATGGGTGCCATGGTAAGAACTCTGCAGCAGGTGACACCACAGAATTAATGACCAATCATTCCGATCTCTATCTCTAGACTTCTTTTACGCAATTATGTTTTAATGTCTTTTAGCCTACATTTTTTATTACAAGCAGCTTAAGTGATTTTTAACTAACATAATTAGTCAAGTCACTTTTTAAAAATAATCAAAAGCAATAAATTGTCTTGACTAATTTGTCTGTTTTTATAACTTGATTAACGTGTCTATGTAGTCTCAATTTAAACCTTCCTTTATGGTAGTGACAGTATTAATCAGGTTTCTTAAAAATACTAATATTGTCCTATAAGAAAATCACCACTATGGACAATTTGTTTTAACAGTAATTTCCTTGTGAATTATGAGGAGCTTAGAGAGGAAAATTACTTGAAATCCACCTTCAAAAGGAAGTATTTCCTTTTAAGTTCCTACAAAAACAAGAGACAAAAAGCACAATCATGATTTTACTTATTTTTTAAAAAAAGATCTTGAAGATTTTGCTTGTTATTTTATAAAATAATTTAAGAGAGAAGAAAAGACACATCTATTAATCCCCTATATTATATTGCATAGCAGGTATTTTTGTTAAATGTTCACAACAAACACCTAAAGTTGATAGTATCAGTCCATTTTTAAAGGAAAGGGTTGAGGATACAAGGTAAATGTTTCCTGATGCTCACACAAGTCTGACTTCAAATCCTTCACCCTTTGTTGTAGAACATAGGATACTATGAAGAGAAATTTCTAGGAAATGGCGCTGTGGCTCAAGTGGTAGAGCGCTCACCTTAAGCTGAAGAGCACATGGACAGCACCCAAGCCCAGAGTTCAAGCCCCACGACCAACCCCCCTCCCCCGCAAAAAAAGAGCAATTTCTAGTTTAAACTCTTTCTATTATCCCTGCTCCCAAGATCCTACTGAAAAATCAATTGATAGTATACAGAAGCAATGATTAAAATTCTAATTTCTAAATAATAATGTCACTAAAACCTAAGGTTATGAAAACTTCTGCACAGTTCTGCACAGTTTTACACAGTCCCCCTTTTTTGAGATGTGTGTGTGTGTGTGTATGTGTGTGTGTGTACAGTGAAGACAAGAACGAGACAGTAAGGGAAAGAAGAAAAGAGAGAGGTAATGATGGGCCAAACTTATTCATGCCCATTAGGACCTTGTACTTTTTTTAAAGAACCTATTTATTATGTAATTTTTAATCCCCTACCATATATTCCAGGGCCTACAAATGCATTGGTCTGGTCTAGGAATGTGGCTTAGTGGTAGAGTGCTTGCGTAGAACGCATGAAGCCCGGGGTTCCATTCCTCAGCACCACATAAACAGAAAAAGCCGCAAGTGGTACTATGGCTCAAAAGAAGCACAAGAAACAGTGCCCAGGCCCTGAGTTCAAGCCGCGGGACTGGCAAAAAGAAAAAAATCATGTTTCTAACCTACAAAGCCAATATAATTAGTTATGCGATTTATACTAGAAAGATTCACAGTAAAGAAATCTCCCTTCTCACCTTGATCACTTTCTCTTCCACCTCAAGCCACACTCCCCCAAAAGTGTCAATATTAAAATCTTTATTTTGCAAATAAGTAGGTGCTATATTAAGTGCTCTGGCTATAAAAAGTTATGGAAAGAAAAACATAACCTACAAATGTATTTTCAGAATTCCTTTTGGAAGTGACTATCACCTACCAAATATATGTTCAACTCAATAGATCAGAGCTCCTGCATCTTATGCCAATCATACAGATACAGAGTTTGACAAGAAAAAAAAAGTATTGAACATATTTTAAGGCAGTGAAAAATAATATTTAGACAGACTGAAGATCTCTCTATCATAACTACTTCCTGGAATGTAATTATTTTTGCAATTCATAGCCACAACAAGAATAAGTTTCTTCAAACTGATTATTTTATGGTATAATAAAAAATATTAAGTTAAATAATGTCAGGACTTACCACCGCCTCCTCCAAGAAGACTGGCATTTGCTGTTTAAAAGAAAAGGAAAAACAATGAGTAATCTATACAGTATATGAAATGCAAGAATAGTTAAAGAAAATAACTCGTAATGATTATGCATCTCATATAAACACAGATAGAAAAAATGTCTTTTCATATAATGACAGTCTCTATTACAATCTGTGGTAGCATGAAAATTAAGATATTTAACTATTTTTCTTTTCCCTTCAGTACTTTTATCATATGTTGTGCTCTAAGAAAATTAAGGATGCGTTGAGATTTTTTTTTTTTTACAAATAGTGTGTGCATTTAATATCTTACTGTAGCCAACACAGGAGGTCATATAGACAAAAGATATAAAAAAAACAGCAACAAAATCAGAATTGGACTAAGTGAACTTGGGCTGGGAAGGTGGCTCAGTGGTAAAGCTCTTGCCTTGCATGCATGAGGCCCTGGGTTCGATTCCCCAGCACAACATACACAAAAAGAAAAAAAGCCAGAAGTGGCGCTGTGGCTCAAGTGGTAGAGAGCTAGCCTTGAGCTGAAGAGCTGAGGGACAGCACTCAGGCCCAGAGTTCAGGCCCCACGACCGGACCCAAAAAAAATAAAATAAAATAGACTAAGTGAACTTAACAGGCAACTATAGAATATTACACCCAATAGTTACAGAATATCTCACTTTCTACAAAATAGATGACTTCTTAGTATATAACTCGTCTTAATGAACACAATACAATTGAAATGATTTTTTGTATTTTATCAAATCACATAGAATAAGACTAGAAGTTAATAACAAGAGAAAACAGGAAATATACAAATACATGGATGGAGGCTGAAAAATTTACTCTGTGTGTGTTTGCATGTGCTCACGTGCGTATGCGTGCACACATGAGAGATTCTTTTATTCTCCCTCTGTATCTAATCTAATCTTCTGAGTGTTCCATTTTATCCAGTAGAGATAGAAAAATGTTATTTAGGTAATGTTGTGATTTCAAAAACATAACAGAAAAATATAGTGATAATCTAAATTAAATACCATCAAACTATCTCGAAATATTTTGCAATAAGGTAACTCAAGCTTAAATAGTAACAGGTTTATTATTTTTTGTATTGTCTTTTTATTTGGGGCAAAGAAATCAGTACTAAACATTCTTATTTATACAAAATGTAGCCCATATATTCATAGAATCCTTATAAGAACAAGAAAATTCCATTTGGACTTCATTTAAGAAATCAAATTTTCTGAAGAATCTACAGAAATTTTTGATAATATGTTATCATGCAAGTGTTAAACAACATGATATTTATTTAAATGAGCAGAAAATGGAATTCAATACATACTCTTCTGAGCTTTATTCCACAAAATTCTTATGTATCTCAGTATATATTATTTTATGACACTCAGAAAATCCTGCAGCAATAACTAGTATATGTCTAGGATAAGCAGAAGAGGTCAGAAGCTATGTACATATGACCATATAAGCTGATGTTAAGCAAAATGAACCCCAAGATAGGACTAAAGAGATTTTATCTTTCTTTCTGTTCTTGTTAATGCACTTATAATGTACTATGTGATTTTTTTTTGTTTCTTTGTATGTTCTTTCCCCATGATATAACCCCTGTTGTCACTGTATTTGATTCCAGTGTCCTGCATCTTATATATACATTTTTCTAATTTGGGAGGGGAGGGGAAATAACAAAATGCTAAATAAGGATACAGGATGACCCAGTGTAACAATGAAATATACAGACACTTTGTTGAAAATGAATTTTACAACTTTAAGGGGGGGGCGAAGGAGGAGGAGTTGAGGAGGTGGGGAGGAAAGGATGGTAGAGGAAAAACAAAGTGGGAAGTAACAACACTCAGTACCTTGCTCATGTAACTGTAACCCCTCTGTACAGTATCTTTACAATAATTTATATAAAGAGAAACCTGCAGCAGTATTTGCAAAGTATGTAGTAACAGAGATCTCCCATTTTTGCAGAATAAATCAAGGAAAAGGAGTGAAGGTCTTTTACTCAAATTTTTGTGTGCTTTCCTTGGGCCATGTATTGCCATAATTTAAGAGGAGCAAATATCAGAGCTAATGATTCGATCAAATAAATAATGGATCATTTGAAGAACAAATGCCCATATTCATGGCTCCATTAGGTTAAATATATGACAGTTTGCTGATTATTACAACATTAAAAGAATATCATAAAAATGCATAGAGAGCAAATGCCCTTGGAAGTTTTTTTCAATATGTCAATATTACAGCATCAAATCTGATCTCATGTAATATTCAAACTACAGAGCTCTTTAATTGCTTCTCATGTCCCCTGCTCAGTGCTTCCTTCAAAGAAATGAGCAGAGCAGCAGTGTCACCAATCAATCAGAAAGAAAATTCAACTCTGATGTCATAAAATCACCTGCCACCCTACTACTTGAGTCTCCAGATCTCTCAGAGTTTATAATAAAAATATGCATTAATATTTAACCCAAACTTAACATGCCCCCAAATTAAGCCTTCCGATGATTCAACAGGTAACTTGATACAGAAGCCTAAAGACAGATACTGAAAATTCTAATTGTTCTCATAACTTTTGGTGATTGAGAGAAATTTTATGGTCAACCCATGTATCTTTGGCTAATCCAAACACTTCTAAAAATCTGAGCTCCATGCATTTATAAAACCACATGGTATTTCCCACACCTGCTGATTCTTTATTTTCATATTTGACAGAGAACTGCTTTCTTGTCTATGGGTTTTCCATGTCCCCGAGACTCCATCTGCTGTCTTTCAATTTTCACATATTCATTCATAATGAAAAAAATATTCCCAACAACAAACAAAGGCAATAATAAATAGTAGCTTCTCACTCAAAGTATCATGCCCAGGGGCACAATAACACAATATACTCTATTTTCATCCAGTATTTTGCTCAATAAATATAGAGGTTTACTGTTTAGACAGCACAGCCCAAGGCCCATCTGTTTAAACAGGCACTTGTCCAATATATGTGGGTGGATAAGTGGGAGTAGGTATAAGAAGCAGAATTCCAGGCCTGGCCTACCATCAAGTCATTCTTACGTCAAATATGCATTTGTACCTAGATAATTGTATCTGTAACATAAATGTCAAAGCAATTTTCTCAGAAAAGGTGATCGAAATAGGCAAAGTGAATTCGTATTTGTTTGATGATTATCTAACACTTAGTGATCTGGTGGATTAGTATTTCTTCCTTCATAAGAAAATGAAAACATTTCTGTGTGTCTAACATTAAGTCATTTAATTCCTACTTTATTATTTGTAATAAATTGACATATAGTCCAATTAGATAGGAAGTTCATTGAGGACAAGGGCTGAACTTAGTTTGAGCAGCATCTAGTAAGCTCCCAATAATATGCTTTTTAATAGTAAGATAATTATAAATCAAGTCAATTCTTTTTCAGCACAAGAGATACTTGCTGAAATGTAAGAAAAGAATTGAACCCTACTCATTCTATAAAATCTATTTATTCTATTAAAAATTCTTGAAATGCTGTGATTAAAATGTATGAAATGGCTGGGTGCCAGTGGCTCACATCTGTAATCCTAGCTACTTAGGAGGCTGAGATCTGAGTATTGCGGTTCAAAACCAGCCTGGGCAAGAAAGTCCTTGAGACTCTTATTTCCAATAAACCACTAAAAACCGGAAGTGGCATTATGGCTCAAGAGGTAGAGCACTCGCCTTGAGCTTTAGAGTGCAGGGACAGCTCATAAGCCCAGACTTCAAGCCCCATGACCCACAAAAAAATGTATGAAATATACTTACTATACTTATATTCCTATCAAATTTCTTGCTAAAAGGAATAATGAACTTGCTTTTTGTTTGTCCTAGAGTTTCAGACAGGAAGTAAAGGAGAAATAAAAAAAAACTTTGATGATGATAAATATGATGCCTCTAAAATAACATTTAAAAAAATCTCTTCTGTAAGCATGCTTAATAACCAACACTGGATTCATATCTCTATGAAATGCCTCTTTTATTAGCAGGGAAGGAGGAGAAGAGTCAAGTTAAAATAATTGCTTTAAAGATTGAACAACTGGAAAATTAAAAGAATCCATCACAACTTAATGAATCTCTGTTTTGTAACCTTTCCCTCCATCAAATAGCTTCACTCAATAAGATGAACAGTTCCACTTACAGAAGGAAAATATTGAACAGGAAATAGGAAACAATGCTATCTGAGATTAATTTTATGCTGGTAAATATGGAGAATTTATTTCTAATACCAAAAACAAGTTATTAAAAAATTTTAAACTTTATGAGAATTGTTTCTTCCATTGAATTCAACTTAAATGTTCTTAGGTTTTAATATCTATAGGCATAAATTCACATTTAATATACTAGAACAAATAAACTAAATATGTCCTAGGTATCTCTTCCTTGGAATAATTTGCCTAAGTGAAAAGAAACCATGGCAGCTGTCAATAATATATAATTTCACATTTCTCAAAATACAAATAGAATACTATAATAATTTTTTCTATTAAGTTATTTTCTTTTTGGGGGAGGGGGAGATCCGGTCATGGGGCCTGAACTCTGGACCTGGGCACTGTCCCTCAGCTCTTCAGCTCAAGGCTAGCGCTCTACCACTTGAGCCACAGCGCCACTTC